AGATGAAAATGTTTCGTAGTTTTAAAGTTAGCATTTAATTGTGTCATTGTAATACAACTAAAAAGCAACAATTCTAAAATTCAAATTTGGAATTGATAGAAAATATAAAATGGACAGAGTGAATTTGAAAAAAATTGAAAAGGCTGGAAAGTCAGCGCGCCGCCGACAAGATCATCTTGCGCCCTAATCCTTTTTCTTGTCATGTTTATAAATTTTATGCTCCATAGAAAAGCTTCTCTTTTTTAAACCAGAGTGCATTTTCATAAAGCTTGTTTAAATAGCGTCATCAGAAACTTAGATTAATTAAGATTATCCTCTACACAAGAGGCCTGTTCAGTTTTCCAATTTTCCTGGATCCTATCTAAAAAACTACCCTGTTTTTGTTAATGTTGGTTTTACTATGTTTGTTGCAAAAATATTATTATCGGTACCAGTCGAGTTGCTGGAAAGCTGTAGGCTAAGTACTTATTTGGTCCTTAGTTTCATTCCTACTTACATATCACTTTTTTTCAGTTTTCCTCGACTTCCTCACGAACAATTTGCAATCTTACCACATATTTCTGTCAAAACGGTAAAGCTTGTCCAGGACATGGTAAATCAAGTCATTGCATTCGATTTAATGGCACCACAGCACTTACCAAGGGATTATTTTAATTCCAAAGCAAGCTCATTGGTAGTTCACTACAGTATGCAGCGCACCTGATGATATCCTAAGTACCACAGCATGTCAACTCCATGGGACTCAACCCAGTACAGGTCGTTCCAGTACGGCACTGCGACCACTTCTATTACACCGCAGCTTCCCACTGGCTTTCTTCACTACCACAGCACACCCAATGGTGGTCCCATAACAGCAGCACACCCCATTTTCAACGTTCATATAATGCGGTTAGTCATTTCCTTGTGGGTTGGGATGGTGGGAATATAAATAGAGCTCTGGATGAACCTTACAAAGCATACTTCATGCACACACATTCGGCCTGAAGTCAGAGAACTTCTCATTCGGCGTAATTTAACTTAGTTAGCTTAGTTAGATGGGGTCCCTGGGCTGGTAAGGTTCCTCCCCTTAGGTTTTCTTTTTGGGTTTTCGGTCACCAGTTTTCGATCGGTATTTTTGCTGTAAGTCGCTCGGCCTTCTTTCGGCTTCAGTTTTGGCATAAAATTCGGCTTCGAATAAGTGCGAAAGTGTTTTCCGTAGGAATTCATCTTCGTTGTCGATGCAGCGATTCTGTTTTATCGCTTAGTTTAGTGGCGCAAAATTCAATTGATTAATCACGTTTCACTTAAACAGTCTAAGCGCTGTTTTTAAGTGAAATTTCTCTTTCTCTCTCTTCTCTTTTCTTTCCGTGAGGTTCACCCAGATATCTAGCTTGAATAAAATGTAGCAAACTGGAGATCAAAGGCCATTCAACTTTTGTAAGGAGACCTTATTTGGCCACTCCTGACAGGTTTAGTGGTTTCTTCAGTTGCAGGCAATGGACCGGTAGGCTTGGTGAGCTGCTAATACCTTTGTAATTGGCCGTGCTACTGAACTGTATGACTCGTTGACTTCAGTTACCGGAAACTGATTACGGCATAATTGCACTGTATGCGGCATGAAATTACCTTCAGTAGTCTCCTCTGTCCCGAGGAGTCCCTGAAAAAAAGAGAGGTAGTAGCTTACATCGCCAAGTTTGTCGGCGTAGATCAGTTGAAAGGTAAATCATTACTTTCTATCTCGGGGCAATAATGGGACAATGCACACACCATAGTGTAGAACGCTTACAATTTGTAAGCGTAGGTAGTCTTCCAATCACGGACGCACCTCAGCACTACAAGTATCAACTGCCCTAGTCGTTGAGGATCATGGACCTGCCGGACCGTAGTAAATAAACTTAGCTAGTGCAGAAGAGGTTCTTATCGCTATGGCAGGATTGATACTGAGACGCAACGTCTACTGTGCTTGTCTCTTTGTTGTATATTTTGCCTTGCGGTAACGGTCTGCTCTGCTAAAGTCCTGCATTGCACCTCGCAGGCAATAGTGCTATTATCGTCTACAAATTGTAGGCGTAGGTAGACTTCATAATATATGGAAAACCGGAAATACACAGCAACGCATCCGGGTACATTGGTCATCAGTGGAAAGGTATCGTGCGGGCCGGCCGGCCGAAGAAAGCCGAACAAAGATCGACGGCGTCATATGTGGACTAGAGTAGTTAGTCACGTTAGTGTTAAGGTAAACTAAGTCTCTTAAGCCAATGAGTTAAAATTTGAATAAAGTGAAGGAAGAAAATGAACAGAAGGTAATATGAGATTGCTTTGTAGTTGTATTCAATTGACGTCATCGCAGGAGCTTAAGCACGAATGTTCTTGAGTTACGTAGGTCAACCGGAAGTGAGGCCATTTCCATTTTCATATGCCTTGACGCTACCAAATTTGTATTGCTTAGAGTGTTGACAATAATAGGAGATGATTACCAAGAAGTTTGGGCGAAAGCACTGCTAGAGAATTCAAAATGCCCACTTCCGGTTGATGTAAGTTGCTCCGAGAAACGCCTTTGCTTAACTATTCGCCATTTTCACATTTCCCATAATACACCTTGTTTGCTCCCTAACATTTTGCACAAGCATTGTCTTCTATTTCTCTTGGGACCACTGTTATGACTAGTAGATACATAAAACAAAAGTTATGCAAAGTTTTGGGGGGGCAAACAAGGTGTATTGTGGGGGATGTGCGAATGGCGAATTGGCCGGCCGGTACTCAGGTCATTACATTCCACCTGGAAGTTGTATGACGCTGGAAGATAACACCAACGCCCCTATCATTGTATAAACGCCGGAAGTTGTTTTCCGTGATCACAGACCTACATTACAAGTATCGTAAAGATTAAGAAAGTAATGTTGGGGGCAGGCGTTATCTTCTAAATTAACGTTTTCGGTCTACAAAAACGAGATTCGAAACTTCACAATTTACTATTTCGAACTCTTCCGGCATTTTTTTCGGCATCGGATTCGTCTCTTTCTATGTTACGGACACTTCAAGTCTTGGTATCGACGTCTAATGTCGATAGCAAGCTGACAAGTGATCCTTGCGTACCGTCTGGGGGACCCTGGGGTGTTCCTTTAGCGGTGTCAAGATTTGTAGACACAGGAACATTCCTCGGTTTTCCTGGACTCTAAATTTTTCGCGTAGGAGCGCTTAGGTTTGTGTCATAGTTAAATAGTAGTATAGAAACTGTGTAATAATAATTGCAAAAGTAATAAAATCAATTTTAAAAAAGTCTGTGTGTTGTGTCTCTATTCTCCTTAATTATAGTAAGATAGCTGGTTTAGCTAATCTTTTCAAAAATAAACTAACAAAACATTTTGATTTCAGGAACTGGATACTAACCCTACCTTTTCCATTTTAGGAAACTAATTTCGATTGTTCGAACACATATATAGCTCTAGGAGAGCGCCTCTTTTTTGCGTATTTGGGTCTTGCGTTGATAATAAGGGTATGAGCTATGTAATTATGATTGTAAAATAATAAAATTGCCAGAAACTGTGTGCTGTGTCGTTATTCGATTAACGGAACATTTCATTTCAGGGATAGCTACTAAATTAGCCATTCTATCAGCCTCTTTCGTGCGCACTAATATTTAGGTTCTGTGGCATAGTTCGGATAGTAATCCCTAGCAACTATGTAATAACTGTGATTTCAAAATAATAAAAGTCGAAAAAAGAGTGCTGTGTCTTTATGCTACTAACGGAAATGTCTTATTTCAGGAAAAATACTAATCTAGCTTTTTAATGGCAGGACTCTTATTACGTTAATAGTAGTGTATAACAATTTTGTAATTATGAATTCAAAACAATAAACAAAGTCGAAAAAAGCGTGCTGTGTCTTTATTCAACTAACGGAAATGTTTTATTTCAGGGAGATTACTAATCCAAGCTGGCTTTTCAATTGCAGGACTTTCTAGCCTATGTTAGTGGTTATATAATAACTGTGTAATTAGGACTGCAAAATAATAAAAGTCGATGGAAAAGTGTGTGGGGTCTTTATTCCACTAACGAAAAGGTTTTATTTCAGGAAAAATACTAATCTAGCTATTCAATTTGCAGGACTTTTTCCACTCCTACTTTATATGTTTACTTATTTGTATAGTAATTGTGTAATTATGACTGCCAAAATAATAAAAGTTGAAGAAAAAGTGTGTGGTGTATTTATTCCACTAACGAAAGATTTTATTTCAGGAATAATATTTACCTAGCTATTCAATTGCAGGACTTTTTATACGCCTAGTGTACAAATTATAGTTTTTAGTAGAATAGCAACTGTGCAATTATGATTGCAAAACAATAAAATTCGTGAAAAACCGTGTCCTGTGTCTTTATTCCCTATCCATCAGGAAAAAATACTAACCTAATAATTTAATTTCAGGGATTTTATTTCGCACCTTGCACTATTTTGCGTAAACAATAAACACTAAAAAAAAACTCAAAATACTGGTTGTTTTCGCGTACTTTGACATTTCTTCATACAGCCGTCTTTTTCGGAGACAGCGTCAGTGGCATTTTTCGTCAGTGGACGACTGAATCTCGACGTTCGTTCTGCTAGCAACCATTTTTTCAACGACTTCAATTTCTCCGCAAAGAAAAAACACGTGCAAATCGTTTGTAGATAGAGGTGTTGTAAATTCTAGTAATTTTGGCTAATAAAAAAAATGGAAATAAAGATATAAAGACGTTTCTGTGTGTCGTGACTTTTTTATAGAGGAAAATTGTTACAAAGTAAGGGATAGTAAGTAGAATCGGTGCTACATTGTAACGATCTCTCTCAACTGTTGTTAACAAAAGAAATAAAAAGAATTTTTTTATCATTTGTGCGTCTTTTGTGGTTTTCAACGGCTGTTTTATTTCAGGAGTTCGGATTATAGCTCGGCGTAGCTGTTTTCTGGCAAGCACTGTTTTTCACGAGTCTATTTTTCTTTAAGACTTCTTTTAGTCGTGATGTCTAATCATGGTGTACAAAATCAAGACGCTATCAAGATAAAAGAAGAGAAGTAGAAGCTTATGCTGATAAAAAGTTTGTTCGAAAACATCGATAGCAGTGAAGATCCGTTCCTCTGGGCAACGAAGGAAAACTGTAAAGCCACAGGGAAGTGTCATCTTTTTACTTTTTTTAGTATGACAACGTCATTGTATGCTCTTTTGTCTGATGAGCAGGAAACACGATTCAGGAAGTTTACAAGGCAAGGCAGAGTGATCCAAACAAGAAAGGTACCAAGGCAGAATCTAAACTGAACAGTCCAGAGTGTAAGTATAGCAAAGTGTTTTTTATTCAAATCTTTTCTGACAAGACGGTAATACTGTTAGAAAAGGCATTAATTGTGGCGGATTGTTGAAGAAGTAAACGCACTAAAAACATAATCACCTAATTGACTCGATGGGATTCCAACCCATGGCCGCTGGTGACGTGAGTATCTAGCACGATATAGGGCCGGCGCGAGTAAAATTTAAAACGTCCACACCAATCTTTGACCCAATGATGGATATATTCATGTACCATATCAGGCAACTGTAGTATATGGCGACAAGCCTCCACCAAACAATTCTCCATTCAAAACTTACGTTTCCTGTAGTATTTGCTAAATGGATTAGTTTCACTGGAGAATAACTTTGTTGTGTTGTCTATGCTGTTTGGAGTAGGTTAGTCAAAAGTGAACTGTAGACACTGCACCACAATGTAAGTATGGCAGAAGAAAATCCCCCTTTTTCAACTTCAGTGCCAGCATTTACACTTTGCCAGTGGGATTGGTCCAGGCCTTGCTACTAAACTTAAACACTAATGCCATGGCTTTTTAGCAGTGAATGCGATTCTTCCGAAGAGGTCAGAGCACGAACCCAGCTGATTGTGTGTTAGTATTGCAGATAATGTCCTGCCGTTGTCATGTTGTGTGTCTGAGCAGATCAACAAGCCGGTCAAAGCACAGACTGATCTGTGCCTTTTTTGAGACTCGAACCCAGTGACCTACTGTTGTGGTTTTTTAAAATCATTCTGCTTCTACTCAGTGGGGGACCGAGGGGAGGGGCCCAAAGGGCCCGCTCCCCGCTTATGTTTAGACCAAACTGAGGTCCGAAGCGCCGAAAAAACGTTTTTTGAGACTGCCCCCTCACCCCCCCCCCCCCCCCCCCCCCCCCACAACATGCCTCCCCCCCCCCCCCCCCCCCTTTTTTAAAATTTTTTTTTTTAATCCACTAAATATGCTCTGGGGGACAAAAGGAAGGGAGGAAAAAAAAGGGAGAAAAAAAAAAGGGGGAGGGACAGAGGACAGAGTTTATTTCTACAACAAACATATATAGATAGAGGAGGGTGTGTCCCCCCCCCCCCCCCCCCCCCCCCTTCCTCATCTAAAGGTCTAGCTCCGCCACTACTTACCTATCTGTGAAAGTCGTTCATCTTAACAGGTCAATATGCAGTCGGGCAGAATCAGAGAAGAGGATAAAATAGAGAGCGAAAACTAATGGTGAGTATGTCAGGAAACCGTTTTTACTTCACCAAATCGAATTTAGAGTTTCAGAGGATTGTGACCATTTAGGAGACTCCAGTCAGAAAGCTCAAATGGGGTGTGATTAGTCCCGTCAAAGGAGGTCAAAATACCTGGGCAATTATCTGAGAGAACATTTAGTGAGTTCCAAAATCATGTGAATATATTCAGTGATTCTTCCACCTATGAGGAACAATTCAAAATCGAGCGCACGGATCTGCAGTTTAAACCAGTGACCTTGTCACACCATACCTATGACCCTTGATTAAAAAAATAAATCTGTACGAACGGTCTTGCACTGTTCTGTTAACTGTGGTATTTTAAGCTTTTTTATCAGTAGCAGGTGAAAATGAAGAACAGGATCCTTGCCAAGATGACAAAGGAACCATGATGGTGGCGTGCCCTACACACTACAGATAACGTTCCTTCAAACTGATGTAGGTAGGTAGATCCAAGTAACCTGTAGAAAGCCCTGCTTTGATGCGTTTGACAGGCAACTGTGGATGTTTAGTCACGATCTAGCAAATAGGTGTAATCTAGCAAATAGGTGTAATCCATCCCAAAGATATATATGCAAGCTTTTCTCTTCAACACATACTAACAGCTGTTCTGCAGGTCAATTTGAAACAATTTGCAGCTTGAGGATATTTGATATTCCTGGCAAATATAATACCTCAAATGAACTGCAAATGCATTTGTAACGATGGAAATCTGCGTGAACGATGAATAGTATTTATTGATAATTGGAATGCTGCACCACGGTTAACTCTCTGGCAAGAATATAATGAACGCAGGGAGGATACTCGATCAATATTTGGGTATAGGTGAGCCGCTGAGGGTTTAATTATCGGACTATGTTTTTTATGCTAAGGTTAAATTCTCGTCCTTAGTGTGGAGAACCTATCAGCAGACTGACGTCATGGCCTTCAAGTCCTTACTTGCCTCGGGTATGAAGCTTAGAATTATAACCAGTACTGAATAAAGCTGACTGAGCAGTGTGGATTCAATAAGAAGGATGGTAACAACGCTGGCTTCCGGTACTCAGTTATCCGGCATCCCTGGCGCAGATACATTGCCTGAATAAAGCTATGGCTGGCAGACCGAGGTATGTTATCGATGGAGTTAGTAATCTTGGTATTGGTATTGATAAAAATTCGCGCGGAGAATCAAATTAATCGATGACAGATTGTGATGTGAACACATGAACCGCCGCCAAGAAATGGAAAACAGTTGTGTGCAAGTCAGATTCAGTTTCGGCTTAACTCAGATTAGTTGAGTGATTAACTTTTGCCGGCGAGTGGCCTGGATGCCACTCCATAATAGGTAAAGAAGTTTAAATGGGACAACGTTCGTCAGTTTAATCCATTTCCTCTGGCATAAAACAGTTAAAATACCCGGTTAATCTCGTGTTGGGCCACGTTCACACGAAAAACGGCCTTGTAGCAGGCTAGATATAACTGAAACAGGATTTTTTTTTTTACACGAATCGACCTTCCGCCCTAATAAAACCAGTGATCATGAATCAGCTGACCGAAACCTCATCGTTTTGAAACCGCTCTCCATAGAGGTGTAAGGCCCCGTCCACACGAAGCTGGATAACAAAATATGCGGTTTTTAATCTGTTTTAACGTCCAGAATCGAGTGGAATCTCTTTGCCTAATATGAATAAACAATATCGGTGTACGGGTGAAGAAAGAGTAGCTCTTGTTTCCTGGCCACGGGGTGTGACAGTTTCTAATGTCGAGAGACATAAAAGATATTTAATTATTTACGCCATCGATATGCATGGGATGATGCTGATAAACCATTATATGCATGTTTAGTTTCAGAATGAGAGTGAACACCATCCAAGCGCCATTCCCGTACATGACTTTGTCTAGGCTGCTGCCACTGATACTCCACTTTACGAATTTCCACATCATAAAGGGTAAGTGTTACTTGTGTTACTTTTGTTTTGTTTCTCCATTTCCACGCAATTTAGCTTTGCCTCCCTTTAATGGCCGTTTCTAACACACTAGAAATTTGGAGTACAAGNGGGGGGGGGGGGGGGGGGGGGGGGGGATGAAGGTAACAAAGGAGCTTGTGGCCTTAAAACGAAACTTCTTCCATTCAAGGTTCCACTTCGTGATAGCTTGCATCCTGAATGTGCAGAACTTTCTCTTTGTCACTGGTGGTTGGCTGTAGAAGCACTTATGGACGGGAGCTAATGGCCTCAAAAAAAAGAAGTTGTTCCAGCACCAGATGCTACGGATCAAAAAACCGCAGTTAGATTTTATGCTACTGGTAGCGTAGACGTTTAAATAAATTAACTCTCGGTAACACAAACTGGGGGTGGCGAATGATCTCGAACGGGTTGAGTTAAATTTTGCCATACGCGGAAGTTTTCTTAGGGTTCGTCGTAAGGTTGGAAGGGAATCTAAGCAAATAAAATTTAAATGTTAAAGCGTCCTCGATCCTGGGTTTATCGAAATAAAGTCTTAATTTAGTACATTCGGCATCCCCAGATCTGTTAATTATGAAGATTATTGGACGATTAAAGACAAATAAATTAGCGAGACAAACCCTTTTGTTATGGGAACCTTATGAGTGGCTATTTCTGTCTTGATTTTTTTTGGCCTCACATGTTTTTGTGATTTTGAACTAAATTTTCAAGTCTTTGTTTCTGAAATAACTTTCATCACACACTTAGAACTTTATATGCTTTGTTCAGCCTGAACATGTTGTTACGATCGGCAATTTTTGAAAACTTTTAACTTTTTCCTCAAGGAGGTGTCATTGCGGTCTTCACTCACCGAACATCCCTACCCCTCCCCCTCCCGCTTCCCTTCTAACTCCGACCCTCCATCTTTCCTGACACACCCTCCCCCTCCCTCTTTAACTCTACTTCTTGCCCAAACATTATTAAGCATACATGAGGTCATGTTTTAGGTTTCCTTCATTTAGCTGTTAATGGGGGCATAAAAAGGCAAAGGGATGATACTGCTCTCGCAATAAATTATGCAAACACCTTTCTGAGTGAACGAGAGAGGGGAATTTCGTAGCTAATGCAAAGAGCTGAGTGCAAAATATCTCCTTACCAAGTACATGTATCTTAATCCCTTAAACTCATTCAAAAACCTTGAGGCACTTGTATTTTTTGCTCCATGTTGTTTCCCTCCTTTTTTGCAATGTTGTTTTAGCCACGTAACTTTGAAATCACATCTCAACATTGGAAGGGGGAAGGGGAGGGAAGTGCATGAGTGCTTCACGGATTTTTGTCGCGGGTTTGCAGATTGGGCATGTTTTGCACTCGAAGCTTTTTATATACAGACTCGTTATTAATCAAGCCAGCATCATCATCCCTTTGGTCTTGCGTATTTTTAGGATTAAACCATCAATTTCCTTCAGAATTTAATTTTTATGCCCTTGACTCGTGATATTTCTTTGAGGAAATGTTGAACACTTTGATTTTGATCTCGTGTTTCGTTTTCAACTTGTTACCTGGGCTGTCATTGCATGAACACTCTCATAAATGATGACTTTTGAAGTTGCGCGGGTTTAATTTTAAAACTGATCGCCGTGATTTGCCAGTAAAGTTGAGGAATGGTCACTCATTGAGTTCCACTAACTTGTCGGTAGAGGTGCTGATAACGCGATAACTTCCCCTTTTGTGTTTAAAAACTTAAGAAGCCGTGCTTTAAGTAATGCGTTTGGTCTATTTCACGATATTTCTGTGGTTTTCGAAGATACTAGCTTGAGGTGAAGGATATCTAAGTGAATGAAAACCTAAAGTAGATTATTTCCACTCGAGTCTGTTTAACTTTGTACATGTTTTCTTAAATTATCAGTGGATAATACAAGTATACAAACCGGATAAATATCGCTATTGGGTGGGCACTTATCGCAAGTCTAAAAACACTTGCATTTTTGACAAACAGTATATCTTCATACAAGAAAACGGTTAAAAGTTTTTTCCGGTGCCCTTGACACGCATCCGAAATGATCTTGGAACATCAGTTTTCTTTCTAATTTGCTGATAATCTTACGCTGATCTTAACAACTAACTTAACAAGCAATAACCAACATACGCTAAAACGGATTACTTGGTGTTCCAAGTCAGGGAAAAATTGCTGAATCTTTTTTATACTTTACCGTAAAACTTAAGAACCATTTCATGCCGTCATAGGGAAATTGAAGCTGACGAATTTGTGATATACTGCCTTTGTCAGAAAATTAGGTAGACGCTGGTCGAGCAATTTATTAGATTGCATTTATTGTAAGAGCATCCGTAAGAGCAGGTTTCTTTCGTACTGTTTCAATTTCTCGATCTGCACAGAAAACTGAGCATAGCCAAACCCGTATTAAGTGATCCCCAGTCAATTATTAATCGCTCACAGTATAAGTTTGTGCTAGAGTGTACCAGTGCCATTTGTAATTTTTTTTCGTTTGGTGACATTTGTGTTCGCTTCACCCCGCATAGACTGGCTTTCTACCTTCTTGCGGGGCAAGGGGAGGGTCATATCTCGAAAGACCCTCGCGCTACAATCGATGTTATTGCAAATCAATTAAAATGTTATTTCTGAGGATTGAGAGACACGGGAACGAATAAGACTAATTAATTAATACTTTGTCGGCACGGTTTAGAGCCGGCGAGTTTAGTAATCAATTAAGTTTTTCACGCGAGCTTTGTGGTATTTTGACTTTATTTTGGTCATTACACAGATGGGTATGTTTTAAGGATTTAATTTTTCTTGTTTTAGTATATAGATTATATAATTAACTATTTAGACCCGTTTTGTTGAAGGCAGTCTATGTAACAAGTTATTCAGTGTTCTATGTTTTTTTCTTGACCCCTTTCCCCGGGATTTAGTGCCACGTTTTTTGGCCAATTCACATGGCTGGTTTTTAGGGGTTTTCGTATCTAGGGTAGTACGGTATAACATCGATGTAACTAGGATACATCTGCATCAGATGACTCACTGAAGCATGCTAATAAACGTTTCACATTGAATGTCTAGTGTTGATGTTGTCACTTCCGTTAAGTATTCACAGCAGTAGAAGTAGCCTGAGAAAACAGCTCCCTGAGACCCCGGGGGTACTCCTGGAAATTCTTGGTGAGGGTGTACCGCCCAGTTCTCCAAATCCTTACCATATTTCAGACCAAAAAATGCCACTTTTAACACCATCCAGACCCTGAGACCTGAGATAAGGGGGAGAATCGGTCTCGAAAAAAAATTTTTTCGGCCCTTCGGGCCTCAGTTTGGTCTTAAAATGGGGGTAAGGGGTGGGGGACCGGGTCCCCCGGGCCCCTCCCCTGGATACGTCACTGCAGGCTACAGAATAGGAAGAGTATTTCAATTATAGGGACTTGACACTCTCTTTAACACTAAGGTGACCGGTTAACAGGCTTGAAACATTTTTTAAAAGAGGTTGTTTAAGAACTATGCAGTTTTAAGACAGACACACTTGCAAGGCCTAGGTTTCCAATAGCGAAGTTTTTCTCGATTGATGATCTTGAAATACAGTCGACTCTCGATAACTCGAACCCTCGCTAACTCGAACCAAAATCGATTTCCCCTGGAATTCCGTCTTACATTCACAGTAATTTTACTCTCAGCAACTCGAACCATGTTTTGAGCCCTTAAAATGTCGGGAAAAAAGCCGTCTACTTGCGTCCGAAACATTGAATTTTGGATTTCCTATTGACGTGTTGTAGGAGTATTGTTTACTAGTAGAGGCTTACGTTGATTGTCACAGGCTAACGTGAAGCAGTTTTTCTTCTCATAACAGTAAAACGCATGCTCTATTTAGGCTATGTTTTGTTACGTTACGTTCTGATTTATAATCTAGAAGTATCTTTTAATTTTCACTTGAGATTTCTACAATTTAATGTGATTAAATGTTCACTGTGCAGTAAAAACTGTTTTTTACCTTACTCTCGGCTATTTTCTTCGAACTCCCGATAACTCGAACTCCCATTAACTCGAACCCTTTTTCAATTTCCCTCGAAGGTTCGAGTTATCGGGAGTCGACTGTAGTTTAGTACAGGTATTCGTTTTGCCTTTTGCACGCAGATGTGCCAGGAATCCTGGAAGAAAAAGACAGATCTGGAAGCTTGTCAGGAGATTTTGATTCTAGAATACATTCAATACATTCATCCAATGTTCTCGTATTGCCCGATATAAGCCTGTGAATCAGAATACTCCAAAAATCAGGAATAAATTATTAATCCGGAAAAGTCTCTTGTGTAAATCTACCCTAAGAAAGTTCAGAAATACATTAGTTTGGAACTATGCGCATGAAAGTTAACCAATCTCGTTCCTTGTTACCCCGGCCTGTCCAGCCGGCAAAATTGGCAGCTTTGGTGCTGACCAAAGGAATCTCAGCCTCTCGGAACGAGATTGAGATTTAACCTTGTGTATACCAACGCTATATTACTTCAACGACCCAGGCGTAGACGTAGTTACCCGTGAAAGTCTTAACAGTAGGAAATAAGGGAATGGGGTTCAGAAACGCCTTGAACATTCCTTTGTAGGCCCCTGGCTCCACACAGCGCTAAAGTAAATAGGGGTTTAAATGCCAAGTCCGTGTCAAAGTTTATTGTTCTTCTGTTTCATTTTCGTTTTCAGTAAAGGACGACTGCCTTTGGAATTCTTGTCAAAAGGCTGCTCGCATTTCAAGTGAGCACCCTTTCTCTTACATCCAGGGCTGAGTTGCTAGACGCCGTTTAGCGGTAATGCTGGGTTAACCGTTTTTAAGAGAGCACATGAGTTGTCCCCGAAACATGGCCTGGTTTTTCCCCAAGTGGGAAACCCTTTATGTGATCATGAAATGGGTTTTATTTCCCTGAGAATAATAAAAAACAGAGGCTTGGGGTAACACTGACATGGTCTATTCCTATTATATTCGCACTACTGATCATGAACTGAAACCAGCTGGCTGTCGAAGTTATGCAATGTTGACATCAAGTTGCATTCTACGTACAATTTGACTGCATATTTCGTAATCTCGAAAACTACGACAGGTCTTTGGTCTTAGGTCTTAGTTTTCGAGGGTCTTAGTTTTCGTAACACCCGAAGCTCCCTAATTAGAATTAAGATGCCTTCCCCTAGAATGTTGATCAGGTATCACAGGTTTTTGAAATGGAATACCGTGTTTGAGAAAGTTCGCTCTGATAGCTAATCAGTATAATATTTAAGAGAAAGACAGAATAGTTACGGTGTTCTTTCTTCTTATTCTCACAGAGTTGCCGATTATATTATTACACTGATGTATGTGCTGTAGAAAAGTTATTTCTCACCCACAAACTGACTAGTGCTTGGCACGAAAACTACGATGACACAATATTTGATTAGAATACGGCATAAACGTAAACTTTACATTGTCATTTTAACACCGGACTATTACGAAAAAGACGACATGTTAAAAAATATTTTCATCAGAACTGAATCACCAATCGTGTGCTAAATCTCATGACCTGTTAACTTATTCAGCATTGATATTATAGTAGATGTAGATAATTAATGGTGCGTAATTTCCAACTGTGTGTACTTTGAATAACCAAGATTTAAGGTCAGGTGAAAGGCAACATCATGAATTGAAACTACTGGATCATCTTTGAGGCTGATGGCGCTGCAGTAGAAACAAAAACAACCAAAACTTATTGGTATTAGAACTGGTACTCATTTTTTGTACAGCTTAAATTATGATGTTCACTGGTACCTCAGATATACAACTTGCCCCTAAGGAAAACAAAAGGGAAATTACAGTAACTGTTATGAATTATAAGCTTCTATACAGTTAAGTTTTCCAGCCACTTCCATGTTTCAAGATTTCAATAAATCTTAGCGCCTGCCCCTGAGCAATCTCCACAACATTTGCACAAGTAGGTTAAAAAAAAATCACATTGTGTCTTAAATAATTACTCGCAGGTTCCAGGGGCCTGTTCTCAAAATACCAAGGATAAAACTGACCGTGTTCACGGTTCGCTTCGCAACGATCTGCTACGGACAATACCACAGAAATGCGCTTAACGAGCATAAGTACAAACGTCCGGATGCCCAGAGGCAGTGTGGGTCAGTGTGGGTTATTATTATCGTTATTACACATGATCGCATTTTCTTCCTACCTGTTGCGCACGGTCAAGGAGGAAACATATATATCTCGTAGTCAATAATAACCAACTCTGTGCCATCACTTTTTGAAAATTAAGGAATTATAATGGGTATCAGGGAATTTTTCATACAGTAAAAGCCCGCCTATGTAATCAACCTAGGACCGAGGCAAAAAGCTCCCCTTTTTGACGAGGTTTTTAGATAAGAAAATAACTTAACGTTTTTTTATGTTTGGGCAAAAACATTTGCAAAAAGAACGCACGTCTGTGGTAATAAGGTAGGCATGGTCTACTGTGCATTATAGCCATAAATCAGCTTCTTACAGTTGAAGCAACAAGGACTCCTACGTGCGATAAAAACTTAAGAACATTGTAAATCTAAACTCTCGTGGGTCCTTCATAATAAAACTGATATCACCCTTATGTTCATTTGACTCGACACTAAGGAATATATACAACGGTACTATTATTAAACGAGCAACTTCCCGCTTTTTCCTTGGCTAAACCACACTGCCCCGTCCTACCTGAACTACGATTTTCGCCAGAACTTAATGAAAATAAATGAAATATATATATAAATAGATAAACAAAGAGCTAACCATTATTAGCAACACCTCTCATCATGTTCTTGTTCCAGTTTTGTAGATTCCTGAATCCCAATCCCTATTCGTTCTTCTCCTGTTTCTCGTCCGTTGTCAACCTCCACGCTTGTCTGCTCTCTCGGCCTGGCCTCTAAAATCTTCAAAGTCAGCATTGTGAGGATACCACCGACTACTCCGCCAACCAATGCACTGAAGAAGTAAACTTTAGGAAAACCCATCTCTGTTATTTTCTGTATGGGTTTACATGCAATCTCGGAAGGTTCAATGCAAACAAAGCGGGCTAATGAGCGATCTTTTGTTTACCGTCCACTAGCATCACGGTGATAAGTTAACTTGAAAACCACACTCCGCCTTTTCAATTGATCTACTCAGTTGACTGACTCTAAGAGCCTAATTTGTCAGGTATATATTTGTTGTGATTCAAAGTTATCCTTAGGTTCATTATTATACATTACCATACCTCAAAACAAAAGAAAATAAACAGAACCGAACTACAATGAAATTATTAATATTATTATGTTATTATTGATATGGATTTTTCAGCCATTAATATGTAGTGCCTCACGCCTCCACCATAAAACAGCTGATAAAAGAAAATGTGATGGATGGATTTCGCTTTCTATCAAGGGTCACAGTACCTATTGTTGGACGCTGTATGCATATTTGAATCACCCACTCACTTCTTTAAGTGAAGAGGTTCACTCGGCCAACAATTTCTTAAATTACGTTTTCCATAATATTAAAAAGGCAAACACCACCGCGTTAAGGCGCCGCTTAACTACGGGCTTTCATATGAATGCTTAATCCTTAAAAATCCCATCCAGAAACTGAGAGGAACAATTTGCCGTTCTTTGCTTAAACTTTAGCCTGAGGGCACTTTTTTTTTTGCGATTTCTTTCGCTTTATTTCTACCCACAATAGTCCACCTTTCCGTGAAGCACTGCTCCCAGAAATATCGATTACGTATACTTTCCACTTTGTTTGCAATCAAATATAGCGATTATTAAATTAGATATTAGTCCCGCCGTGGATTGCTTGGTGTTCCAAGTCAGAGGAAAATTCCTGAATCTTACATCTTTTTTATACTGTTTACCGTAAAACTTAAGAACCATTTCATGCCTTCATAGGGAAATTGAAGTTAATGAGTTTGTGATATACTGCCTTTCTCAGAAAATTAGGTAGACGCTGGTCGATCAATTTAGATTGCATTTATTGTAAGAGCAGGTTTCTTTTGTACTGTTTCACTTTTCTCGATGCGCAAAGGAAACCGAGCATAGCCAAACCTGTATTAAATGATCCCCTGTCAGGCATTAATCGCTCATAGTATATAAATCTGTGCTAGAGTGTACTAGTACTCTTTGTTAGTTCTATTTTTTTTTTCGTTTCGTGACATTTGTGTTCGCTTTACCCGCCTAGACTGGCTTTGTAACTTCTTGCGGGGCAAGGGGAGGGTCATATCTCGAACGACCCTCGCGCTACAATCGATGTTATTGCAAATCAATTAAAATGTTATTTCTGAGGATTGAGAGACACGGGAACGAATAAGATTAATTAATTAATACTTTGACGGCACGGTTTAGAACCGGCGAGTTTAGTAGCTAATTAAGTTTTTCACGCGAGATTTGTGGTATTTAAATTTGACTCTGTTTTGTTAATTACTCGAATTTGTATGTTTTGAGGATTTAACTTTTCTTTTTTTTTTTGGTATATAGATTATATAATCAACTATTAAGACTCGTTTTGTTTAAGGCAGTCTATGTAACAAGTTATCCAGTGCACTATGTTTTTTCCTTGATTCCTTTCCCCGGGATTTAGTGCCACGTTTTTTGGCCAATTCACATGGTTGATTTTTAGTGGTTTTTCGTATCTAGCGTAGTACGGTATAACACTGATGTAACTAGGGTACATCTGCATCGGATGACTGACTGAAGCATGCTAACAAACGTTTCACATTGAATGTCTAGTGTTGATGTTGTCTCTTCCGTTAAGTATTCACAGCGGTAGAAGCAGCCTGAGAAAACAGCTCTCTTGGACCTGGGGGTACTCCTGGAAATTCTTGGTGAGGGTGTACCGCCCGGTTCTCCAAATCCTCACCATATTGTGATATTTTAGACCAAAAAATGCCACTTTTCACACCCTTTTTCAGACCTAGGGCTGGGCCTGTTTCTCGAAAGTCCCGGTAACTTTTTGGGCCCTGAAAGCTGCTTTTTGTTTGCCGCGTTTACATTCAAGATCAACGTTTCAATAATTTTGAAAAGTAATAAAATGAAACTGTCAGTTAACGAAGCAAAATTGACTGGTTTATGGGCAAGGAACTGTGCTACTATTCAACAGGTTTGGATTTTAAAATTTGCTTTCGGTCCGAAAAGTTTCCTGGACTTTCGAGAAACAGGCCCCCGACCTTTAAGAAATTATGTCATCATTACATAGATTAGAACTCCAACAAAAAATATTTCTTTTAAATTCCATTTCAAATTTGCAAATTTCTTTTTAAGTTTCTTACTCATTTGATATTGAAACGGTAAACACGTTGAAACACTCCTGTTGTTTCCTAACAAACCGTACACGCGATATCAGGGGGGCCGGTCATCCAGACCCTGGGATAAGGGGGAGGCTCAGTGTCAAAAAACATTTTTTTCGGCCGTTCGGGCCTCAGTTTGGTCTTAAAATGGGGGTGGGAGCGGGGGACCGGGCTCCGATACGCCACTGCAGGCTACGGAATAGGAATAGTATTTCAATTATAGGGACTTGACACTCTGTTTAACACTAAGGTGACCGGTTAACACAGGCTTGAAAGAGATTTAAGAGAGGTCGTTTAAGAACTTAAAGTTTTGAACAATAAGGAATTTTAGCGGAGTAGAACTGTGATTTGTGTACACATTGTTTCCCTATTTGATTAACTGGCACGATTGGTAGGGATAGCCTCATACTTTGCCTTGTGGAATAATTGTGAATGTTCGAAAATCTAGTAAAATATAATAAAAAATAACTAGGAACTAATGAGTGAGGACAGAAAAACGAGTTTAGCCTTGTGGTAAGAGCGTCTGCTGGAAGGAGGCGGCCAGTACAGCTGCTCTATTGCTTCAGATGAGCGAGAGCAACGTATAATAATCCCGCGTGCAGATCTATTCTGTAGGCGCTGTAGTCGATCTATATCTTGCTGTAGAAGTTTACTCCAGGCAATGTCACAGTAACCAAATAATGGAAGCATTAAAGCGTTGTGAACAAGTGTTTCTGCCTCTTTTGTGACGAAACTTTTAACACGGCCCAGGATACTAACTCTTGACGCCACCTTTTTACACACATAGTCCGCGTGAGCCTCTCAAGTCATAAAGTTGTCGAACACCACGCCTAGGTACTTAAATGTAGTTTCGCAAGATATGGGCTTTCCNCGCGTGAGCCTCTCAAGTCATAAAGTTGTCGAACACCACGCCTAGGTACTTAAATGTAGTTTCGCAAGATATGGGCTTTCCGAGAAGATTAATATTTAAAATGCAATCGCGATCTTTATGCCTTTGAGATGTAAATAGTACACACTTTGTTTTTGAAACTTTGAGAACAAGATTATTGTCTTATAGCCATTGAGATAAACACTGAAGATCTTGGTTAATGTAAAAAGTTAAACTGTGTATAGTTGGACCGGCAAGATATAAAACTTTGTCGTCATTGTACATATTTACAGAACGGTGTTTGACACAACGTGGTAGGTCATTAATATAGACCGTGAATAACAGAGGTCCAAGGATGGACCTCTGCGGCACTCCAGAAATTACGGCAAGCTCTTCAGACGACTGAGAATCAATGTGCACGAACTGCTTTTTTCCCGTGAAGTAGTTCTTAAACCATGGAAGGCTCTCATCGCATACACCATAATACTCTAATTTGCTAAGTAAAATGTCATGGTCAACTGTTTCGAAAGCCTTTGCCAGGTCAATAAACACAGAACCAGTGACTAAGCCCTTATCCATATTTATGAGAATTTCGTCGGCGAAATAGGTTACAGCCGTCTCAGTTGAGTCCATTCTTCTAAAACCGGATTGTGATTTACAGAGCAAGTTATGTTCGTCAAAATAAGTTGCAAGTTGCTTGTTGATTAAAAGTTCTAGGACTTTAGATACCACTGGTAATACGGATATGGGGCGGTAATTTCTTGGGTCATCCTTTGTACCTGATTTGTGCAGAGGGGTCATCTTCGCTTTTTCTTCGCTCCTCAAGGATACCGTTTTGTTGGATAGTTAAGGCGTATTTTCAGCGTACAATGATACACAGGTAGTCTATGGCTTTTCATCCTCTTTTTAAAGCCACAATACTGATATGTCTCCAAATTTTTAGAAGAAGCGGATCGTCAGGACGTAGATGATAGTTTTTGGTTGTTTTACGGATTACAGTCTTTGAACGGTCGGTCTTAGCCGTTTTCGTAATACGAAAACTAAGACCCCTAAATTTACCGTTTTATACTACTACATGAGAAATTTCTGCAATTTGATTGGCTTAGAGCAGTGGTATTTCAGCTTAATTTGAAATACCTACATGTGAAAATTACAAACCTTTTGCGGGNATTTACCGTTTTATACTACTACATGAGAAATTTCTGCAATTTGATTGGCTTAGAGCAGTGGTATTTCAGCTTAATTTGAAATACCTACATGTGAAAATTACAAACCTTTTGCGGGCAGTAGTATAAACCAATAATAGCATGATTTCTACGTGATATTTGGTACTAAATACCATTCGTGATATTTCAAACTTGTCTCAAATTTCACTCGCCTAACGGCTCGTGAAATTACGTATAACAATTTCGAAATATCACGACAAATCATGCTATTACCTATACAAATTTGACCTAAAACTCGGTGGAAAGAATCGGACAGAAGATAATTTGACAGACTAGACCTATTTCGGCTACAAGTTGACTGAATATTTCGTAATCTCGAAAACTAAGACAGGTCTTAGTTTTCGAGGGTCTTAGTTTTCGTAACACCCTAAGCTCTCTAATTAGAATTAAGACGCCTTCCCCTAGAATGTTGATCGCGTATCACAGGTTTTTGAAATGGAATACCATGTACTTCGCTCTGATCGCTAATCAGTATAATATTTAAGAGGAAGACAGAATAGTTACGGTGTTCTTTCTTCTTATTCTCACAGATTTACTGATTATGTTATACACTGATGTATGTGCTGTAGAAAGGCTATTTCTCACCCACAAACTGACTAGTGCTTGACACGAAAACTACGATGACACAGTACACAGTATTTGATTAGAATACGGCATAAACTTAAACTTTACATTGTCATTTTAACACCGGACTACAGTAAAACCCCGCGAGTAAGAACCTACATTTTCTGGAGTTAGCCTAAACAGGTTCTTATTTAAATAGTAGTTAACACAATTTTAGGCTATTTAGGTTCTTAAATAGGTTCTTATTTCTGTAAAAAAACAAAACAAAACAAAACAAGCTACAGAACGAGATGGTCATCTGTGTGTTTTTCAATTTCAAAATGCGATACAACAATATCAGCCTCTTGCACTTAATTTTTTTATTACACCAGCACTTTTATTTGCCCAGCAATGCCAAGTTCCTAATTCTCCAGACTGGATTCTTGCACAGCTTTGCAGCTGCATTTAACTAATTTGACTTTAAAAAATAACAACCTGTTTTTCATTTTCTAGGCTAAACAGGTTCTTGTTTATAGGGGTTATAAATGGCAAATTTTAGGTTAACAGGTTCTTAATTTTCAGGTTCTTACTCGTGGGTTTTTACTGTATTACGAAAAAGACGACATGTTAAAAAATATTTTCATCACAACTGAATCACTGATCGTGTGCTAAATCTCATGACCTGTTAACTTATTCATCATTGATATTATAATAGTAGATGTAATAATTAATGGTGCGTAATTTCCAACTGTGTGTACTTTGAATAACCAAGATTTAAGGTCAGGTGAAAGGCAACATCATGAATTGAAACTTCTGGATCATCTTTGGGGCTGATGGCGCTGCTGTAGAAACAAAAAACCAAAACTTATTGGTATTAGAACTGATACTCATTTTTTGTACAGCTTAAATTATGATGTTCATCGATACCTCAGATATACAACTTGCCCCTAAGGAAAACAAAACGAAAATTACTGTTATGCATTAGCCTCTATAAAGTTAAGTTTCCCAGCCACTTCCATGTTTCAAGATTTAAATATATCTTAGCGCCTGCCACTGAGCAATCTCCACAACGTTTGCACAGGTAGGTTAAAAAAATCACATTGTGTCTTAAATAATTACTCGGAGGCTCCAGAGGCCTGTTCTCAAAATACCATAACCTGAGATCAGGCTCAATTTTCGTTTCGCTTTGTTAGAGATAAAATACCGTGAACACGGTTCGCTTCGCAACAATCTGCTACGGACATTTTAACATGTAAAAAGCCTATCAGCGGATTTTTATTCCACTTACGCGCATTGGGAACAAAAATACGCTTAATAAGCACCTTTATTACTGTTATGGCAGTACAAACGTATGGATGCCCAAAGGCAGTGTGGGTTATTATTATCATTATTACGCATGATCGCATTTTCTTCCTACGTGTTGCACACGGTCAAGGGGGAAACATATCTCGTAGTAGTCAATAATAACCAACTCTGTGCCATCACTTTTTGAAAATTAAGGCATTATAATAGGTATCAAGGAATTTTTCATACAGTAAAAGCCCGCCTATGTAGTCAACCAAGGACCAAAGAAAAAAGCTGATCTTTTTGACGAGGTTTTTTTAAATAAGAAAATAACTTGACGTTTTTTTATGTTTGGGTAAAAACACGTGTAAAAAGAACGTCTGTGGTAATAAGACAGGCATGGTCTACTGTGAATTATAACTATAAATCAGCTTTTACAGTTGAAGGAACAAGGACTCCTACGGGATAAAAACTTAAGAACATTGTAAATCCTAACTATGGAGGGTCCTTCATAATAAAACTGATATCACCCGTATGTTCATTTGACTCGACACTAAGGAATATATACAACGGTGCTATTATTAAACGAGCAAGTTCCCGCTTTTTCCTTGGCTAACCCACACTGCCCCGTCCTACCTGGAACTACGATTTTCGCCACAACTTAATGATAATAAATAATAATAATAATAATAATAGTAATAAAAATAATAATAATAAAGATAAATACATAAATAAAGAGCTAACCATTATTAGCAACACCTCTCATCATGTTCTTGTTCCAGTTTTGTAGATTCCTGAACCCCAATACCTATTCGTCCTTCTCCTGTTTCTCGTCCGTTGTCAACCTCCACTCTTATATGCTCTCTAGGCCTGGCCTCTAAAATCTTCAAAGTCAGCATTGTGAGGATACCACCGACTACTCCGCCAAGCAATGCGCTGAAGAAGTAAAAAGCAAAAACCATCTCTGTTATTTTCTGTTATTTTCTGTATACAGCAGGAGACTCTTCAATTTTGATCTACTTGATGATCTCTAAGAGCTAAGTTTGTCAGGCTAGAACTGTGGTGGTTCAATTTCATCCTTAGTTTAGGTCGTTTTCTTTTCCTTTGTTTTCAAACGCATTATCATACATCAGTGATTACCATCCCTCAAAATAAAAGAAAATAAAATTTAGACCAATGAAAATTTTGAACCACAACATATGAAAGACAAAATGATAGAACTGAACCGGAGAGATGAACAAAACAACAGTCATAAATGAGGTTGCACACGTAAGTGATCATCAGGGGCGGACCTTTTGCTAATTTCAGATCAATATTTAAAACAGACCACTCATTTCAATGCAAATGGTGCGATGGCAATGAGCCCGAAAATTCATGGTAAGTGAGCATTGTTCTGTTAACCTTTTAACAAATAGATAACGAAAAGCAAAATGAGATCACAATGGAGGTATTTCGATTTTAGAACCTCGAAGTACCTCGCGATTTTAACGTTTTCTGTCACCGCAAAGTTTGGTAATTTTCGCTGTTCGCACCATCAATTTGTAGACATGTACTCGTGCGGACCTTTTGCTAATTTTAGATCGATATTTAAAACAGACCACTCATTACAATGCAAATGGTGCGAAGGCTGAATGACCTGAATGAGCCCGAAAATTCATGATAAGTGAGCATTGTTCTGTTAACCTTTTAACAAATAGATAAATAACGAAAAAAGCAAAATGAGATCACAATGGAGGTATTTCGATTTTAGAACCTCGAAGTACCTCCCGATTTTAACGTTTTCTGTCACCGCCAGGGTCACCGCAAAGTTTGGTAATTTTCGCTGTTCGCACCATCGATTTGTAAACATGTACTCGTGAGGTGTTGTGCTTTATTTGCGGGAAAATACGCTTTTCACGCGTTCGTTTTCGATGAGTGTTGTAATAACCGTTTGTTTAGACATTGTTAACGTTGCTCTGTTATTTTTCTAGAGTATCATTGCAATGAATGATCGAGAGAAACGTCTCATAGTGGTTAATAGACCTTGTCACGGTTTTCGACGCCATCTTGACGAGTGGGCAAACGCGGTGGTTTCTTGGTGTTGCGGATCACCAAATGACGTCACCTTTAGCCTGTTTTGTGCGTCTCACTATCATAAGGTTCAAGTTTTTATTCAACCTTTACAAATACTCATTTCGGCAAACGAATGCAAAATTTCTGTCGGTTTGTCAGCACCGACAAATTCACTGACAAATTTTGACTTAATTAAGCAAGAGCTCAACTGACATGAACCGACAAACCGACAACTGACAAATTTTGTCGGTTTGTCAGTACCGACAAATTCACTGACAAATTTTGACTTAATTAAGCAAGAGTTCAACTGACATGAAACGACAAACCGACAACTGACAAATTTTGTCGGTTTGTCAGTACCGACAAATTCACTGACAAATTTTGACTTAATTAAGCGAGAGTTCAACTGACATGAACCGACAAATCGACAACTGATCCATGACAAATTTTGTCGGTTTGTCAGTACCGACAAATTCACTGACAAATTTTGACATAATTAAGCGAGAGTTCAACTGACATGAACCGACAAACCGACAACTGACAAATTTTGTCGGTTTGTCAGTACCGACAAATTCACTGACAAATTTTGACTTAATTAAGCGAGAGTTCAACTGACATGAACCGACAAACCGAAAACGAACTACTTTTAGTTCCTGAAATGAAGAAGAGATGTGATGTGGCCGCATCTCAAGTCTTGAAAACCTTTCAATTAAGCCCATATGTATGAGTTAACACTTTGGTGACGGCCAGCGAGAAACGAAAAAAAGATGTTTTCACCATTTCCCTTCTTGAACTGATTTTTGACTATCATAAGAATGGCTAACAATGAGGTTTGCAACACAGAGGGCATATTTCCAACTAAAGGGATGTAATTAAACGGATTTTTCGAAGAAGAGCACAAACCAAAATTGGAACTTTTTTTAGGATCTATTTCGATCTTTCTCAGTCTCGCTCTCCGCATTTTTTTCTTTGCCTTCCTTCTTTATAAACTGTTCCATTGCCCACTTTATCTTCTTTCTTTTGCATTGCATTGAGGCTGGCTATTTTTTAGTAAAAGGGCAATTTTAATCTTCAAAGATTAGTACAGGTAAACAGCTAAACTGACAGTGGATTTTCTCCCAAAATGTGACTTTTCTTAATTTTCTTAGTGAGTGTAACTCTATTAGGATTGCCCAGAATATCCTGAGAACGAGGCATCGATGGAAAGATATATATTTGATGACGTTGTTACTTAGCAACTTATTAGGTTAAAGCGAAAGCTATTAAAGTGGGTACGGTCAGTGAAAATATGCATACTTTCATATGGAAGGAAAACGACCAAAGGTAAACGGCCAGTAACGGAAAAACGGAAATACACGCATGATGTTGCAGGCACGATACGAGTTTAATAATCTCATCTGTATACAGTATCATGTCCATGCCTTTCACATGAATTTTGGGACCAAAAGCTATGTGAAACCACCATGATAAGGCCTAGGAGCACACTCGACAAAACTCAACAATATATAATACATTTCAAGCGTAAATCTCTAATCACCTTTATAGCTTTATAGTATTATTGTAGATCTAATAATCTGATTTTGCGTTTAATTCTAAATGAATGTGCATGCCTCAATTTCAATTTTAACCATTCAATTACGGCGTACAATGGCAAGTATATGACATACCGTGTGTCAAATCAAGTATCAGTATTAATATAACGGTAGCCTGCGTAGCATGGCGGTTTTGTCGAGCGAGGCGCACGAGCGGCAAAGCCAGGAAAACGCGAAATCTGCCCGCGGAGCGCGCGTGAACGAGCGTTGAAGCTACCCCAATTTCCTAGAGGTTTCTCTGCCCTAGCCCGCCTTTATTACTTTGCGCTCCCAACCAAAACCACCATGCTACGCAGGCTACCGTTATATTAATACTGATACTTGATTTGACACCCGGTATGTCATATACTTGCCATTGTACGCCGTAATTGAATGGTTAAAATTGAAATTTAGGCATGCACATTCATTTAGAATGAAACGCAAAATCAGATTATTAGATCTACAATAATACTACAAAGCTATAAAGATGATTAGAGATTTACACTTGAAATGTATTATATATTGTTGAGTTTTGTTGAGTGTGCTCCTAGGCCTTATGGTTTTTTCACATTGCTTTTGGTCCCAAAATTCATGTGAAAGGCATGGACATGATACTGTATACAGATGAGATTATTAAACTCGTATCGTGCCTGCAACATCATGCGTGTATTTCCGTTTTTCCATTACTGGCCGTTTGCCTTTGGTAGTTTTCCTTTCATATGAAAGTATGCATATTTTCACTACCCGTACCCACCTTAATAGCTTTTACTTAAACCTAGTAAGTTGCTAAGTAACAACGTCATCATATATATTTATCTTTCCATCGATGCCTCGTTATCAGGATATTCTGAGCAATCCTAATAGAGTTACACTCACAAAGAAAATTCCTTTCGACGCCTGCCACGTAGGCTAAGAAAATTAAGAAAAGTAACATTTTGAGAGAAAATCCACTGTCAATTTAGCCGTTTCGCTGCAGTAATCTTTGAAGATTAAAATTGCGCCTTTACTAAAAATTATCCAGCCTCAATTCAATGCAAAAGAAAGAAGATAAAGTGGGCAATAAAACAGTTTATAAAGAAGGAAGGCAAAGGAAAAATACATCGAGCGAGCCTTGGCGTACGAGTAAGCTCTCCTATTTGGGCGAGGGAAGCGAGCCTCGCGAGAACGCGCGAGCGAGGGTCCGAGAAGAGGAGAGGTTGCAACGATCTGTCGGGTGGGAAAGTAATGTAATCAGTGTAATGTAATGTAATTAGTTATTTTCCAATTTTCAATAAAATTTGTTGTGGTTGTTATTGTCTCATAAATTTTCATTTCCACCCCGGAAACCCCGGGAATCCGCAAAGTGTGAAAACGGTCACCGCGAACGGTTGCTCCGATTAGACAACGGACAACCGCCTGTCAAGTTTAGACAGCCGAGGGCGCGTAGAATTATTTATTTAAAAATCACTTTCGCAGCAGCATCAAAACAATGCTTTTAATCACTGAAGATATGCTTTTTTTCCACGCGGACATCGAACTTCAACGTGTCCGCTCGGCTGAGAACTCAATACTTTGATTCTCGTTTCTTTTGAAAAGTCGTCTATACTGCAGTGTAGAAGACTACTCCCCGTCGCAATCACCAACAAAAACATATATTTGTCCGTTCCAGAACTGGAGAATAGCGTTTTTCTGGACTTGGTTCTCTTAAGTTGTACTCCAGTTGCTACCAACTCTATCTCTTCTCCTTCTTTACAGTCAAGCTTCATAGCTACAATGTCAAGTACATGTTTCTGAATTTAACTACCCAGTGGAATTAAATCGGGCGAAGAAACCGACGTTGGAAGGCAGCCCTTGAACCGGGAGCTTGAATTTCTCTTCAATTTCACTCTTCTCGTTTTCAGAACTAAACAAGGCGCTTGACACAAACAAATACTGCTGATGAAGGGTTTTCATTTTCCTTCCACAAGAACTATAATCTCAGTCCGACTTATCCTCGGCTCGCAATATTCTCTTTGCGAGATACTCAATCAAACGAGCACCCTCGTCTGCTTTGAGGGCTGAAACAAGTTCTCGGTACCAATCTGATCCCCCTGAGAACCAAACTTGTCACGCTGACGATGGAGGTGCCAGCTTGGCCTGTTATCAATCAACTTTGTTTTCCGGAACGTCATTTTTCAGCCAATTGTATTTTCCTTCTTTTGGGCGAAGTACAAATGAAATTTTATGAGAGATCGTTGCAAGCTCTCCTTTCCTCTGCCCCTCGCGGCTTCGCCGCTCGCTCGCGCGTTCTCGCGAGACTCGCTTCGCTCGCCCAAATAGGAGAGCTTGCTCGCAGGCTAAGCGAGACTGAGAAAGATCGA